TTCCTCTGCTCTACTTCTGTCCTGTAGTATCAGATTTTCCAAGTTCTGCCTTCTCATTATGTGACCCAAAAACCTCAATTATCTCCTCCTGATGTTAAGTATTAGTTTCCTTTTATATTCTCTCCTAAATTTCGTTGTTGCTCACATGTTCGGTCCATGGTATCCTCAGCTGTCTTCTCTAGAACACCATTTCTTCAAATATCCTCTTCATCTTCGAGGAGATCGTCTAACAATTACTGCCGTACATGACAAAAGATAATAGATAGAAATTTAGTATTCTTTTTCTTGTTTCTGGCAATTTTTAATACACGTAAACATGATTTGCAATGATCCGTGCAATGGATAGTTAAGCTCTATCACCGCATCCCTAAAATTAGCGTCAACCTTTTTCAGCGTTTGTAAATAAGTGGCCATCTATAACCTGGTCCACGACTGTAGGCATCTTCTTCGTGTTAAACATGCGCCGCAATTCTCTGAAACGGCGACTCAGTTGTAGCAAGAACGGCAATTATGCTCTACTCGTACGGGTCTATTGCAATAAAGGAATCTCAACAATATATCGATGCCATGACACCTGTTAAATTCTTTCATAACAAACATTTTACACTGAGGATTTGCAAGGAAACTGGAAAATGTGGTTTCTGAATGGTTATAATATTGATTTTAATTGTCAGCCAATATCTGTGTATATGTGACTTTATAGTAGCTCTTCCTGGATAGTGAGCACTGCTAAAAATAACAGTTCAATGTATCGTGTCTGACAATTTCCCATGTCGAAATCCATCTAGCACATTTGTAAATTTACCATTTGACCGTCAAGTGAATATGCGGGCATATCTGGTTTGGTACTCTTACTGTTATCTATTTCAAGATTTTCGACAACATTCAAAGTTTAAATGCAATGTTATCTAAATGCCATTCAAATGCAACGTGACATCTTCTGCTTTCCTAAATCCTGTTTCTTGTCTCCTCAATAACGTCTTCTTCAGTAAACCCTATATATATATATATATATATATATATATATATATATATATATATATATATATATATATACCAATTGGTAGAGATAATTCTAAGGAGGACATTCATCCAAAAAGAGCTCAATGTAAGTAACAGAGCAATAATAATAATAATAATAATAATAATAATTAAAGAAAATCCTTAAAAGTTCATTTCGGTTATAATTTATTTTATGAATATATTTAAATATTCATCTATTCAGACATAAGTTTTTTTTTAGAAATAAAATCAATCCGTCCAGACAAAACGAAAAGGGAAAGGAAAAAAGAAAGATAAAGGAAAAGGAAAAGTTTCTATAATAAAAAAAGAAGAAAATTAGTAATTTCAGTATAAAATGTATTTTTTAAAATATGTAGGGACGAAAGAAAGAGCGAGAGGGAGAAGAGAGAGAGATGTAGGGAAAGAAAAGAAAGGAAAGACGGAAGAATTAAAGATGAGGCGAGAGGTTGACCTAGGAATATATTTTCATTAAAGGGCTAAACAGATTAATATACTGGGTAAGTTAGGAGGTGATCAAAATTAAAAGAGTTACATTAATATTTCTAATAGTCATATCATTTCTGACAGAAAAACTCATCATCGCATTATAATTATTATCATAATTTCTAATTAAATTAAATTAATTTAAAAATAAATAATATAAAAATAAATTAAATAAATCAAGAACAAATATAAAGAACAAATTAAAAAATAGATAGGGATAAAGATAATAATATTAAATATAAAATATTATTAATTAATAAATTAGACAATCACATTAATGAACATATATAAAAAAAATATGAATACACGTACGCATACATGTTAATAATCATATTAAACAGAATCAACACTTCAAGTGTATATCCTCCAAAGTCAATGTTTTAGGGAATTTTAAATCTGTTCTTGTGTCTATTCATGAAAAAAATTGAAAAATATATCATGTAATTCTCTCTCAAATGATCTCAAATTTAAACAAAATGTGTAAAACTAAGCTGACTGTGCGAAATTATATCCAGGAAGATAGATCGGGCGTAACAGTAATAATGACAATGTGCTACTGAAATGGCCACCACGTTAATCTGACTTGACACCTTGTGATTTCTTTCTATTGGACTATGTGAAAGAACATGTCTATATCTTCTTCTTCGTAGAAACCTGGGGGGACTTAAGCAGAGAATCACCGAGGCAGTGGAGAACGTTACGCAAGACATACTACAGCGTGTTTGGCAGGAGCTGGACTACAGACTTGACGTGTGTCGTGTCAAAGGTGGTATGCATATTAAAAGTTTGTGAAATCGGTTAGAAAATCTCTATCACATATATCGTGTTCGGAATTTAATTGTACAACATGAAGCTTATTTAATTTCGTTTAGCTGGGACATGTAGTTACTCAGATATTCACATTTTAAACGATGTTATTTTCTGGGGACACCACACACAAACACACACACACACACACATACACAAGCCCACATATATATCGATCTTCAATTACGAATTGAACCCTCTTGGCTACTGGCGTTTGTATACATCTCGTAGATAATACGTTAAAATTTCTCTTTCTCTGCTGTGCACCGATAACTTAGAAGCAGGATCTCTGAGAGACACCAAATCGGTCGAGTTTCAATCCCGAATTGAAGAAATCGGACGTCTAGCCACACTGATGACCAATGATACAGCGAAACAGGTTTGTATGTGCATGACTATATATATATATATTGGTATATTCGGGCAGAAATATTTCATTTATTTGACAAATCCTTATAAGTAACATTAAATAATGCTATAGTAGATACATTCTTCAAAACAATTCGGAATACTATACATCATTCCTAAAAAAATTTACATCAAGAAATTTTCATTTAACTTAAGAATCTACCTACTAAATTTTACAAGTAATAATATAAAAACGATGAGAATAAAATTGAAATGATGCATCAAGTTAACGCGGAAAGAAAAATATCCAGAGATACGCAGCGACATGGAAGTCATATGACTTGAAAAAGAAGCAAAAAGATTTGGCGCATACTATGGTGACAAAAAGCGAAAATCAAAAAATAGCAAAGAACAAACATTAAAACAAAACAAAATGTATTAAAACAAAAATTAAACATTTTTTTATGGCTCATGGAATCGAAAACACTCAGAAGATATTTGAAAACATATATTCATTATATTTTCCTAGAAATAAAAAATAACGTCGAAATCGTTGTAAATTCAATTAACAAATACTTATCAATGATTTTTTATGCTTTTCAGGCGAATGTATATATATATATATATATATATATATATATATATAGGTAAAAATCCGTGGGCAAGTAATACAAGTAAATCCTAATATTAAAGAGAGTTCAATATATTTATGACAGAGCATAGAAATGAATTACATAAAAATTAAACTCAATTGTACCCCATTTTAATAGCCATTTCGCTCCCTTCGCTGGAACTTGGCAATATTGTCAAGCTCAACGGAATTAATCCAGGCTAGCAAAATGGCCTTCAAAATGGGATACAATTGAATTTTTTTTTTTTATTTAATATATATATATATATATATATATATATATATATATTCATAAAACATAATTAACATAGACCATATACAATTCAACATGAAAAAGACGATGTTTTATGATTATGTCCTGAAGATGGTCTATTAGACCGAAACGTCCGACGTTGACATTAAACATTAAAACAGCATAATCGCATATTAGGATTTTTGTTTGTTTTTTTTCAGTATAGTTTTCTTCATACTGTTGGATCTATATCCATATATTATATATATATATATATATATATATATATATATATATATATATATATATATATATATATATATATACATGGGATGTGCTGCTCTGAGTAAATTGTGAACGGTTGTCTACTATTTCCAACATAATCATATAACCTCATATATAATATATGAAAACACGCCCAGACTTTATTTTCTACCCAATAATAGACAATATTAAAAACATAACAAAAAAATCCCGCAATGTAACACACACCGCTTAGATCAAAGTGTCTACTGGTTAGAAATTTATATGACCATGTGAAATATTTGACCAAGTTTTCTCGAGCATACTTTCTGGAATGTTTTCTTATAAAAACACAGATTTCGACCGTCAAGGCAGAGATGCGACTTCATGCGAGCTGTAAGTGGCTACACAGGTTTTTCTTTCCCACTAGCACGCACTGAAAGAAAAACATGTGTCGGAGCCTTCGAACTAATCAGCTATCTAACCAAGAAATACTTTTATCAACGACAGTTTTAAATCTTTGCACCAACTACTAAATGACTGATTTACAAACTACCCAAAAACAATAATTCAGCTAAAGATATATGTTGAATCATTTTTACTCTTATGAATTCATTTCGAATTCTTTTGTCATTAATTATTGAGGTATTACATCAATTGCCATGAATAAAGATTGACTTAAGTTTATTATGACTTCAGATTTTCATTTTCTAATCTGAAAACTGTGAATACTCTTGGTGAACTTAAATTGAAAATTTTTGCCAAGATGAGAAATTTTCCTACAAAATGCTAACTTATACAAAAAAAAATGGGCAGCTATTTCATTCGGCGCCTTCGTATTAGCCAAGAAAGAGTGCTTCCAAATTTGCAGCAAAATATGTGTTGATCAGTGTTATCACTGGTCAAAATGAAAGGAAACAAAGCAACAACATCAGAACGAGATAATAATATCGATGTTGACAACCTTGACAGAACTTTTTTGACAGATAAGGTAAAAGTAAATTCGTGGAATCCCAAAGGACGGCTGCTGTGACCAAAGAAAGCAAGTGCCAAAGTAGAGAAACTCCATCGAAAAGATTAATGGACATCATAATTAAATTATGAATAAACGAGTGAAATGAATTAAGATCGTCACACAATTACATTGAAAAATACAGAATTGATTTAACTTGATCGATACTGGATTTAGCAAATCGATGGCACTGATGAGAGTTTTGGCTAGAAACTATTTAGTCGGTCAACCAAATAAGTTACTTGAACATTTCTTGATCTATCCTTCTATCTATCTATCTATCTATCTATCTATCTATCTATCTATCTATCTATCTATGTATTTGTCACAGTTTGTTCATTATCTATCTATCTATCTATCTATCTATCTATCTATCTATCTATCTATCAATCTTCAAACTTTCTTGATTTATTGAAAATTATAGCTGTAATTATCTAGTGAGCACTATTTAGCAGAAGATATTCTAGTCTATGCAATACATTGAATTCTTCTAATTTCCTGAATTGTTCCAGTGTATCATTGGCATTAGTAATATTATTTGTGTATATTATGTTTCTTGATTTGTATCCTGTAGAGCCGGGTCCAAACTATGGGCCTTAGGCCCTATAGAATAATTGTCATTTAATTGATAACACTTTCATAGTATATGGAATGTTTCTAATAGGGCGGTCTTCTGTGCAAATTGTATGTAGATGTTACCTGGGACACTGTTAGTAAAGTTATCCATTTCTTTTCTCACGAGACCCAGTGCTCCGATTACTATTGGTACAGTCTCCGTCTTCATTCCCCACATCCATTTAATCACGATTTTCAGGTCCTCCGCGCTTATTTTTATGGAGGTATTTCTCTCAGATGTTATTGTTATATCAATAAGCATTCACAAATCCTGAATTTATTCTCTTTTATGGTTACATCTGGTCTGTTGGCGTTTATTTCTTTGTCAGTTTGAATTGGCATTTCCCAGAATTTAGTTACATCGATAGTTTGAGTATCTGTGTCTGTTTGATGCTCATACCATCTCAATGGTTTCCATTTTGCGCTTCTTGCATAACTTCCAGTGCAACTATGTCGCTACCTTGTTATGTCTGTGAGTATATACATTTTTTGCTAGTTCCTTATTATTATTATTATTATTATTATTATTATTATTATTATTTATTTATTTATTTTTTTTGTATAGACATTTCCTTCCTCGTCACAACCAGAGTCGTAAAGTTAAAAATGGCTTCATGTCATTTTATTAAAAAAGGTTTTAAAAAATTTATTGTTAAAGCACTTCGTACGTGTGAGTGCAATTTTGTGTATTTCTTTAAGGCATGGGCCACCAGGATTCCTTCAAAATGTAATCTATCCGAACCTTTTCATATTAATCCGAGAACTCCAATTATATTCTGTCCATTCCAAAGATCCTGGAAGTCATTAATTTACTTAAGTAACCATCCTCATTAAAACGTATTAGGATGGTTACCTAATCAAAATACTAACTTACCGGCGCAGGTAATGAACAGGAGAGTTCCATAAGATTTATATTAAACTGTTTAATGAATTCCTCTTCGTAACCAATCAACTAACGGAAAGTTCCAAGATGAATAAGATCACCATTATATTAAGCATATTTATGATTCATGGGAAATGGATGGTTTTTCCTTCTCCTTACGATCCAAGTCAAGATTCCCAAACTCCCCAGTTTGTTTTGGCCTGAGGTTTTTTTATGGGTCAGGTTTTTGAATTTTCTAATGTCCATATTTTTTATCTTTTCCCTCTCCCTTAGAGACAAAGCCTCTTGATTTTGTCGGAAGATAAAATACAGCAGCAACTGTTAATTTTGAGGGGGTGAACAGGTTTTACTAACATCTTTATTTTTTCAGTTTGTTTTCGGGGTCATCAACACCACCCCCGCCACCATCATTTCATAAAATTCATAAGATTTATTATTTATTATATAATTGTAAATATTGAAATTTTAAGTAATGGTGTGTTTTTTCAGTAGGTACCCTGTATCTGTGACGTATTCTCTGTGTGTAGGAGCGAATGGTTACGGATAGATTCTTATAGTAAATGAGCAAATTGTAACAAATGAATGTCTCGTTAATCTGATTAGTTAGGCATAAGTTAGCGTCGACAATCCTTGACTAATCTCTCCCCTTTGTGCCACAATTAATGTATTCAATCAGTATTAAATCGTAGACAAGCAACGTTTGAAGAATTATATATTTTTATAATTGAAAAATTGTTTAAATATAACTTGACGAAGACAAATATTCTGTTAACATATTTAAAACTGTATTTTTTATTTTCTGTATCTTCACTGAAATCGCGCACTTTTGTTAACTCTTGAAAAATATAGGAAGTGTTATATCAATTATTTGGTTCATTATTGTTATTATTAGTAGTAATAGTAGTATTACTAGTAGTAATAGTGGTATTAGTTTTGAATTTCTAGGTCTGCTAAATTGGATCGTGATTACGATTCCTATGTAATAAATTATAACCAGGGAATATTAGTGTTTGAGCTTATATATATATATATATATATATATATATATATATATATATATATATATATATATATATATATATATATATATATATATATATATATATATATATAGATAATAAGTCAAAATTACAAAAGAACGAACATTAACTATGAGTTCAAATGTCCCTTAAGGAACTGTGTTCCTGATCAAACTGGACTCATAAATAAATACATCGGTTGGCTAACAACTACATTCTTATCCAGACGTCTTACGTTACACCTATCTCTGCTAACCGTATTCAGAAATTAAAAACATCTCTACCACACACTAAGACATACACAGAACGCACACATTCAATTAAGCTGAAAATCGAATCATCCTTGATAATGGCTAAAGGTATAACCGAAAGTGCTCGGAAATTACACACCCTTTGTCCAGAAAAGAAAGGAATTTAGAAAAATTAAATAAAAGCTTAACCGTAGTACCTTGTCTGTCGTTTTAATGAAACATGCATAAAGGAAAGATTATTGCCCAAATATGCGCTATATATATATATATATATATATATATATATATATATATATATATATATAACTTGTACTATCAATGTAACAGTTTATATATATATCGATATAGTTTATATATATAATATATATTATATATATATATATATATATATATATATATATAATATATGAACTGTTGTATCGATATTACCAGTTCTAATCGCATTGCTTTCTAATCCTCGTAAGCTCTGCAAGTGTATTTAAATATTTACTTGAAGCGCTCAAAATATGTCGACCGGAAATATAGTTTTTAGAGAAAAAAAAAGCCAAGTGCAGCATCAGTAGTTATTTCCCGCTACAATGATGCGACTATTGTCTCTTTCCTTCGCTAATGCTGTTACACAAAATCAGTCACGCATGAAAATCTGACACTAATGACATTTTTATGAGAAGGATTCGCCGCATTCTTTGTATTCACTTCAGTGCAAAGTCAAATTAAATGTCAAAAATAAAATTCTTGAAGATTCGAAATGTTATATCAGGGCCAAACTGTTTCTTCCAAGAACATTGATCCATAGCTCTTTAGGTAAAACCGTTGGCTCTCCTCATGATAGACATCGCGCCATCATTCGAAGCTAAATGCTGATGGCCTATTTTTTTTCACTCTGCAATCGATTATGTGTACGCAAATAATTGGAGACTCACGGCCACATGACACTGAAACACCAGTTTTCGTATGATCACCGAAATTAAGCAAAGTCGTACCTTGTCAGTCTCTAGATGAGTAACCGCTTAGAAATACATGGAGCTTTAAGTTTCGATGTGTATGCGTGTGTGTGTGTGTGTGATGTAATGTATAATGATTCGGAATTGTTTAAGATGATTGTTTCTGTTGTATGAGGATTGCTACAATGAATATAAGCCAGATTTTGCTAGTATATTGGTATTTTTGTGAGTATCTGCCTAGTGTTATCATGGTCCTTATACTACTTATTACAGTGTTACCTGAGAACACTCTGGTCCGATTGGTGGCATAGGAGTCGATGTGAGAATCAGATTGTGGTATATGGTAAGACATTTTGTACGTTTTATTGACATATAAAGATTCTCTTAGTGGGCATGTCTATTCATTGCTAGTATATCTCGAATATATTTCATTGAATACGATAGACCAAGTTGCTTTGATTTAGTTTTAGTTTTTATGCTGTCTAATATTTTTTTTTCTTTTCAGATGATAAGTTATATAAAACTATCCTAAATTATATATATATATATATATATATATATATATATATATATATAAAGAAAGAACAGTAAGATATATAATCCGGTGTTCTTATAGATATTTTTATTTTTACAAAATAGTGCTCAATGTAAATTTACAGAGCATTAATATTATAAATTAATTGATTTAAAATATAGTTTTTTTCCGCTACACAATAATGTATGTATGTATGTGTGTGTGTGTGTGAGAGAGAGAGAAAACGAGTTATACGCATAAAATGTTATTCTTTTGTCAACGTTTCATTTGGTATGATTATTATCAGAACATTTAAAAGACTAACAAAACAATGCTACTCTAACAACCAGTAAATGGCATGCTAACGATTTTTCTCGTTTTTTCGGGGGTTTTTTATAGTTGGACTGATAATGTTCTTATTGAGGGAAACGTTAACAACAGAATAATATATTAAACATCCATCCTGTCAGTTTTCACATATCCCATATTACATGAGTTGTTCGCATATTTCATATCATTCAGTGTTTCGCTCACACACACACACACGCACACACTCACACACACACACGCACACTTTTTTGAGCGCAATTACTTTCATTGTGTCTGCTCCAAATCTCACAGTTCCCAATTGTGGTTCATCCTGCAATTCTACTGAGCGAAATTATTTAGAGTTTTGGAGAAATAACACATAATCTGGTGTGATCAACAGTTTGAACTAGGCCAGACCCTCGATCACGATGACTTGGGACTTTGTGCTAGCACTACCATCTATGGATTCCGAGCAATTTTGTTTCCCCTATATTCACTCACGAAGCTGACGTCAACAAAGTGTATGATTTCAAATGGTGACACACATACATATAAAAAAATGTCAGCTCAGTGTTATTTAGCAAAAGTGTCAAAACATTCCATTATTTATGGGGGTGGTAGATTAAATTACTTTTCAAATATTCAAAAATGAAATATATGCTTTCATTTCTCCGACGCGTGCGTCCAGAGAGTTAGTAACTTTTTAATATGCCAGCATGCCACGATATATAGGCTGGATATATCTTTTGATTAAGAAGATGTGTTGCTTTTTAAAGGCATTATTTCATTGAATATAAATAATGAGAAAAGTGAGGCAATGCCCAAAGCAATACTAAATGTTTGGCAATTCGTTTAACGTCTGTTACAGTCGATTCAAATT